GTGGCGTGATACAAGCGTCACGTGACCTGCGTTGTCGTAACAGTATCTACTTTTCTCGCAGAGAATCTACAGTAATGTCCTTCACTGGCCGAGTAGATGATATCTAGAGGTTACCCCGTAACTATCATGCTCAAATCTCACGTTGTAAAGCAGAGTTACATAATATTCGTGATTTACCCCCAGATTACCACAATCATATCAATACTGTTAATTTAAATATGAGTAAACAAAGACCCAGATACTCCTCCATTAATTAATGTCTAATATGTCTGGACTCCATTAATTAATATCACCTATGTAATAATTTCGCACGTTTTAATTTCAGCACCTGATTAAGTATCCTATCATTCGTTACATTAATATACGAGTAATATCAAAACTTCTCTCGTAATTATTACATGTAATGTGACATTCGATTTCAGTAAAAGCTATGCGAAAATAGCGACATCTGTTAGTTAAAAGTCGCATTACATGCGGTTACATAGACTTAGTGAAATCGAGCATATGCTTTAACAGTAATCAAAAATATAAGTTCATATATTTACATTTCGGCCCGGCATGGCCAGATGGTTAGAGCGCTCGACTCGTAATTTGAGGGTCGCGGGTTCGAATCCCCGTCACACCAAACATGCCAACCTCCGCCTTTGCCTGTCCCATGTCCAGGATGAGAAAAGAGGAGGGTTGGGCGCGGGGCTAGCAACTCCACCCCGTAAAAACCAACCTGCTACAAGTAACTGCAACAACACCTTCCGTTGGCGAGTTGTTGTTGTTGCGGCCCTATGCTCCACTGGGAGTTTACAGGAAAAAAAAATACATTTCTGATTAAACAGATTACACGAATAGGAGGTTTGTGGGAGTTGAATTAAATATAATAATTATAAGTATATATATATGTGTGTGAGTCTAGTTAGACTCCTATAAATTGTTGGGTGGTGACAAACCTACCCACTAGTTGCTTGACCATAACAATACAAGGTAGTGGTATGAGGTTACAAACTCATAGATAAAAAGCTTTATGGGGGAGAGGAGGAGATACGGTGACAACTCCTAGTCTTGGATAGAAAATTAGCCCTGTTTACAAAAGGTCCTAGGTTCAGAATCGGAGTTTTTTTCTACTTATCAGCTTTTTTTACTTGCAATACCTTTACTGGTATATGAGATAACATTGCCAGCTGACAGTTACCAGTTTCCAACCGTTTACAAACACCAATAAACTAAGACCAATTCTGACTGATGTCTCAACTATGACAAGGAGAGGCGGTTTCACCATTAAATATTCTGGTTACTTAGCAGAAGTTCTGGTTTTGTATAACACCTAAATGTTCGATAATATTCACACACACACACACAAAGAAATCAACAATTTTTCTGCAAATTTTCTTGTGGCTTACACACACACACACACACAAAGAAATCAAAAAAATTTCTGCCAATTTTCTTGTGGCTTACACACACGCTTATAGATTTATTGGCTCGCAAATGTAACAGGACTAACGAGAGATGGATGATGTTTCGTTTGGTAGTTTTTCGCATCAGCAGTTGCCCCACGACATTATGTGAGCTACAGCTTTAAGTGAAAAATTTTGAATGACAGATATTTAAGGTCATGCCCGCCTCTCCCTGTTGACTATAGAAAAAATGTTTCTAGTCATTCCTGAAATTATTTTACACGGAAGCTTGTGGAACTTTGTTATCTTTGTTAACTGGAAGCTTGTGTATCTTTGTCAACTGGAAGCTTGTGAAACTTTGTTAACTAGAAGCTTGTGTATCTTTGTCAGTTGGAAGCTTGTGGAACTTTGTCAATTGGAAGCTTGTGTATCTTTGTCAACTGGAAGCTTGTAAAACTTTGTCAACTGGAAGCTTGTGTATCTTTGTCAACTGGAAGCTTGTGTATCTTTGTTAACTGGAAGCTTGTGAAACTTTGTCAACTGGAAGCATGTCTATGTTTGTCAACTGGAAGCTTGTAAAACTTTGTCAGTTGGAAGCTTGTGGAACTTTGTCAATTGGATCTTTAAACACCATTCATCTGTATAAATAGTGTGTGTAACTTCAAATCAATTTATATCATATTTAGTAAGAAAGGACAGTACATTTAATATAGCATTTCTAATAGTAAATAATATAGTGAACATTTTCCTGTACTACTTTCTTCATGACCAGGTAAATGGTAGTTTTAAATGTTGACCAAAATAAATAAACAGCAGAAACTTCTCTTTGGTTTAATGCTATTACGTTTTCGTTGACGAACACGAAAAGATAACAGTAGCAGCAACAGCAATAGAATTGTTAACCTCAATGGCACCATACGGTAACTAAAAGACCATTATGGTTCAGGCATGTCCATACCAAATTCTGAACTACTGACCAGAGGGAATGCAGACAGCAACGCTGCACCCGCCTTCACCATTAATTTTTTTAACTAAGGATTTCTGAGTGGTCTTAAACTACGACTAAGGCAAACATATTGCTAGACACATGAGGTTGTTCTAGAGAAGGTCATTTAGATTTTTTGGAAATGATAATCAAATGCGACAGGAGTCGCATATATATATATTTCCCCCCAAATTCACGCTTTGTTTGCTTGCTGTTCTTCTTTAGAGTGGTCTTATAGCGATGAACATGACTGGAAGTTTGTGAAACTTTGTTAACTGAAAGCTCATGAAACTTTGTTAGCTGGGAGTTTGTGAAACTTTGTTAACTGGAAACTTGTGAAACATTTTTTAACTGGAATCTTCTGAAACTTTGTTAACTGGAAGTTTGTGAAACTTTGTCAATTGGAAGCTTGTGGAACTTTATCAACTGGAAGCTTGTGAAACTTTGTCAACTGGAAGCTTGTGAGCTAGCAGAAAATTTGATTGGTACTTAATTCAGAAATGGCGAGCACCACCAACAAGATACAGACGTTCATCAACAAGTGCCTGCGACACATCCTAAACATCAGGTGGCCAGAGAAGATCTCAAACACAGAGCTATGGAAAAGGACCAACCAGAACTCAGTCAGCCAAGACATCAGGAAAAGAGAATGGGGCTGGATCGGACACACACTGCGAAAACCAGTTGACAGCATTACAAGGCAGGCCTTGGACTAGAACCCACAAGGGAAAATAAAAGCTGGGAGGCCAAAATAGACGTGGAGGAGATCGGTCGGGAGTGAAGCGAAGGCCGCCGAAATGTCGTGGACCCAGTTGAGGAGAGCAGGTCTGCGAACTTACAACGCTAGAAATCGGGTTTCGATACCCGTGGTGGGCAGAGCACAGATAACCCATTGTGTAGCTTTGTGCTTAATTACAAAAACAAAACAAATATATCTTCGTAGCTATACTTCCTGTTGTACAGTTAATAAGTTTCGGACACAATATTTATGTTAGCCATGGCCCGAGAGAGGAGAAGATCCCCAATTTATCAATATTTCAGTAATAATGTATAAATATTTATTGATACAAAAGGTTCTAAATCATACACAAAAAATTACCAATTTCCCGTGGGTCCAATCATATGTAAAAGATTTTAGAATCCACTGTGCGTTAGTGTGGAGCCTGGAAATACCTTATGTCTTGTCTCCTTTCCCTCTATAGGCCTAGTTTTGTTATAAGAGCCAAAAATATTTAATTATCAATATTTAGTAACTGGAATATTGGTATTGATCAACCTCACAAGTTAAAGTATGATCAAAATTTTAAAATGTTGTTCGGACGTAGGGGGTCGTGACACAGGTCAAATCCTTTCTGAATTAACTTGACTTAATCCTGTAGACTCCCGGTGGAGCATAGGGCCGCAACAACACCTCGCCAACGGACTCTGTTCTGGGAATACCGCTGTGCCACTGGGGGTGCAGGAAGATATGTAGTCTACTCTGCGACCCGAATACATATGGTACTTTT